TTTATAAATCGATAGATTTTTTTTAAATATGTTAAATTAAATATTTAACCCATTCGTGTGTGATTATTAGCCAATTTACATTATAAAAGTCGATGTCGTATTAGAAATTAAGGCAAATTCTAGCATGCGGTAAAGTTGGCAATTCATGGTAGCGAGTGAACGTCCGGCCGGGAATTTAAATGAAAGGAAAAAGGTGGTCGGATTTATATTCGAACTGTGAATGATTTTAAGGCCATTTTTCCCCCTTGCATTTTCTCCCAAATTATTAAACACTACAGCCCCTATTGAATTAATTTCGACTATGAACACAAGAAATCTATTAACTCACACGATTTTACCCAACCTAGCGTTCTTTCATTAGTTCGTGTGTGTAAAGACGGTCCATGCTGGTTCAAAGCGCTGAGTATCCCATTGGTGTTAAAATAAAGGCGTGTTGCGATGATTATTCAAGGCGTATGATGCCTGCATTCCATAGACGTCTTGCTGTCAGATTAAGACAATCGGGTCGTCTGGAATGAGTCATGACAACTGACTAACCGATTTTATTTTTTCGTTCATTCACTTCTAAAAAAGTCTTAAACTTATATTAAAAATTACACTAGATGTAGTGTAAGCTTATATGCTTTTATATACCCACGTGCCATCTTTATGTTCTTAAATTATGAAATTAATTATTTAAGAAGTCTTAAATCTCAAAAATTGGTGACTTAAAACACACACTCTGATCACTCACACTCAAAAACACTAAGACAAACGCACTTTCTCCTCTCCCTCCCTCCCTCTTCACTCTCTCTCTTTCTCTCCATTTATCTCAATTTCCCTCCTCTCTTTGTCCCCTATTTTTTCTCTGTTTTTGTCTATCTGTCGGTCTGTCTCTCTCTCTCGCTCTCTCTCTCTCTCACTCTCTCTCCCTCTCTCTCTCAGTCTCTCTCTCCTTCTCTCTCTCTCTCTCACTCTCTCTCTCTATCTATCTATCTATCTCTCTCTTTCTCTATCTCTCTCACTCTCTCTTTCTTTCTCTCTCTCTCTCTCTNTCTATCTCTATCTATCTATCTATCTATCTATCTATCTATCTCTATCTATCTATCTATCTATCTATCTATCTATCTATCTATCTATCTATCTCTTTCTCTCTCACTCTCTCTTTCTCTATCTGTCCTCTGTCTATCTCTCTCCTTTTTCTCTCTTTCTCTCTCTCTCTCTCTCTCTCTCTCTCTCTCTCTCTCTGTTTCCCTCCTCTCTCACTCACTCTTTCTTTCTCTTTCTGTCTATCTGTCTCTCTCTATGAGTAAAGTTGTGAGTAAAGTTTTATTTGTAGATTTATATTGGTGTTTTACAATTCATTGTTTGTACTGCATTGTATTGAAAATTATGTTTGTTCACTTATTTTATTAGTAATTTGCCTTTTGATTGCTCAATTATTATGTAAATTGAAATATCTATTTCAACGAGCAAATTTAAGTAAAGTTCAATTTCAAACAAATAGATGGAACATATTGCCCACTAAAATAAAGTTATTCGATGTAATTAATGTTTAATAAATTAGAAGTAAGTTAAACTTAGAAACTATTGTATTTCATATTAGATGTAAGAATGGTCCTTGATACCAAATCTTGTGTGATTGATAAATAAAACGTTCATCATCATCTATCTATCTCACTCATTCTTTCTTTCTTTCTATCTATCTATTTATGTTTGTATTTATCTATCTTTCTCTTTCGCAATCTATTTATCTATCAATCTCTATCTCTAACTCTATCGCTATCAACGAACAACAAATATTACACACACTAGTCTGTCGGGCAGTAACCATTGATTTACGCTATATTTCACACTGTGTGTACCGATCTTTCCAAGCGTAGCTACATGACATTGAAGATTGTTAACTAGGAATCGTATATATAGTATAAAATAGCAAGATTAATTGCAGACCATCCTTGTAAATAAATCAACATAAAACTGAATGGCTCTACTGCTAAGCCAAGAATACTCAAATCCTGACTTGTGCGTAAAGAGCATTAATAAAAAGTGGCCACACACGCCAGACGAGAAGCATCCACGAGCTTGCAGTCTCCGAACCTTTACTAGAATCAGCGAATCCAGTTTTAAACGAATTGTAACCAAATGGCCATGAAGATATGACAAAAGCAAATCAAAACTTACAATCAAATATGCAAATCCTGGTCAATTTATAACAGAAACAATATACCGACAAGACAATGACATTAGAAGAAACATAAGCATACAATTGAGGGTCGACAAGGCCGAACCACTTTCCAGGCTTTGTGAAGAATATTTAATTAATAAGAATCATCACCAATGATGCCACAGCGACATGGATGAAGAAAATTGTTTACCAGCAAAAAACGAATTGTAATTTCTTAAGAACATAGTCTGATGATTTAGGAGAATCAGTCAAAATAAAGATAATTACGATAAGTCTAAATGTGTGGCCGGTTTTCAACCGTTAAAAAATGCAAATAACTATTTTGTAGGATAGCTTATGGTTGGTCTTACAAGAAAAATGCAAATAACTATTTTGTAGGATAGCTTATGGTTGGTCTTACAAGAAAAATGCAAATAACTATTTTTTCTTTAGTCATATCCACATGCTTATTTATTTATGGCAACAGTGAATGCGAGGTGAACGTGACAAATTTTTGTTTGTTCAGTTGCAGTTTGGGTGATGATGATGGCCAAAAGTATGTTCGGCATAAAGCCATTTTGACCAAAAAGCTCCTGTTTGTCCCGTTATCATGAGATATAAACTTTTTCTCAACATGTTTATTATATGTGTTATTGTTTTTTGTGTATATTTAGTTTGTGGCCGATTTCCCATTGTCTTGTGTTACTTCGAAACGGTCTACAACCGTGTGTGAACGTGGTGATCATTGTTCGTCCACAAAATCCATAAAATCCACAAAATTCCCGATTAAAAAAATAAAAAATTTCCCTGGTGGTCCTTTCGAGTGAAATTAAGGCTAGCTGTTCAGCGACGATATTATTCCTGGGAAGAGGGCCAAAAAAGAATTAGGGACGAGAAGGCAGTGCGCGTAAGTTAGAAAGTCAAGGATCTCACTTCGGCCGGGCGTGCAAATAGGCAGAACCCATTCATGCTCAACAGCGTCGCCCCAACCTTGAGCCGACTTTCTTCCAAGGGGCTCATTCATCTTTGCAAATTTACTCGTTCGAATCCATCTAACGGTGTTCGAAGAATTGGCAACACCCACCCGAACGTTGTTACAAAGTTGCCAATTTCATGAAATTTCCAACATTGCCGCAAAACATTTTTCACAATGTGGGGGTTTTCTTTTGAGAATTCACTGCCGAACCTCAAACGGGATTGCATAGATCAATTCCTATTTTAAAAGAATGTTCCAACCATTAAACCCATTCGGGAGGAAAGAAAGGTAGCGCCTCTCCCTTGGGAAGGTTAAAGAAAGTCAGCGAATTCACCCACGTTCTGGAAAAAAGTAGGCGAGACTATTGTTATCGTTCTTATTAACGACAGTTATTTATTGATTTTATAAGCATGATAACGCCTACCAACCTTGTTTCGCTTTTAAACAAAGGTCAGTTTTACCAGTTTAAAAAGTTGAGTACCTACTTCAAAATCCGATTGCTGCCAATAACCAAGTGGGTTATTTATTAAAAACCTCAAATTTATTTATAATTTGTATATCATTTTTGTTAAATATTGTTCATTTGTAACAGATATTAGTGGAACAAAGTTTTTTTTATTTTAAAAAATTAGTTTCACATCCTCGCCGTTTGCAGTTTTCAAATGCAGCCCTTTCCAGTGACTTACATTAACTGTAAAGGATTATAATGAAAAATTACGATGATTTTAGGAATATAAGCTGGTTCAGACATCCTCATTGTGAATCATTACGTGACATATCGATCTACGCTTAAATTCATCCTGGTTGGGTCAGTCACTTGCAGATGCTGCTTCTGATTTTTCTACAAAATCCGTCCCTTTGATATAAATTTTGGGCAGAGACGAGTTTTGTTTACCTCAGCTTGACAAATGGTTAAGGCGTGACATATTGATCCTGAATGCAACTTTTCAATTGCTGCTTATGGTCGTATTTGAAGCTTCATTCATGTCGAAAGTGGTGTCGTACACCTGGATTACACTCTTGACTGATTCAGCATCATAGCTGACTGAAGGACGACGCTCATCATCGACCAAAACGCTGACGTACAGATGCAATGGCCTTTTACCACCCACTGCACAGATTTCATCAGCTGCCTTTGCTATAAACAAAAGAATCGCCTTTTATTCTGAGCATTTTGAGAAAATTACATGATTTCTGGATCGATAAACGATTGGCCGATGTAAACAATGTAACAAATTATCTAAACAAAAGAATCAAAATATAATTAATAAGGTCTAATAAATTTAAAGGATTAATAATGTTCTACTATACAAGGACTTTTATAACAACCTATTTCGAACAATGAAATCGTTTTGTAGAAACTACACTTGATGGAGCTTGATTAAGTTGAAATTTGTTCAAAAATGTTCTCACGATTAGTCTAAACACAACAGATTTTTCAGTCAAAGTACAGGAAATCCAATTTTAAATCCGTTAAATTTTGTTGAATCTTTTCAATAACGTAATTTTCAATTAGTAAATAGAGATAAATTTGGTTTATTCGTTTCTACATCTTGAATGAGAAATTTTCAATCCATTTACTCTAAAACTTGCAATTTAAAACTAAAATGAAAGTGCGGCTCATACTTTTTTCCAGGGCAACCCGTCAATGAATCGTTTTATAAGAAAGTTATTATTGTAGATTATCTATGCAATTTCGCTGTTATAATTATAAAATAGTTGTTATATCATTTGACAATATGTAAGATCGATTTGTGATAAGTGCAATAATGTATGGCCGATGGGTGGTAAACTATTATGGCCTAGGTCGCTTCTTATAAGAAGACTAAAAGGAGATCCTGGGTGGGAGTGAATCCGGATGGTAGGAGTCCGGTGGAGGGAGTCGGAGTTATAAGAGGACAAGTCGCTTCTTGATGCCGACCTATCTATAGTAGTGTGAGTCTGAGTGAAGTTGTGCAGATAATATTTATTAAAAGAGAGAGAGAGAGACTTAGTGAAGGATCATTGTCGTAATTGTTAGCTGTAACGGTGCTCATAAGAAGAAAGCCGAAATGAAGTTCGGATGGTTATTGCTTTGTTGCTTATGTGCCATTGCCGGTACGGCATTCGGTTCACCCGTTCCACAAGCACAAGTTCATATCGAAACAGCGAAGGGCACCGCAGAACAGGCGACGTCTAGGCAATCGACGACGGCGGAGCAGGTCGTCCAGCCGGTCGCCGCCGCTCCTCAAGAAGAAGACGATGACGACGACGACGACGATGACGATGATGACGACGACGTAGATTTGGATCTCGGCGACGATGACGATGATGATGACGACGATGATGAAGGGACAGCGGCAGACGATGACGACGACGATGACGATGATGAAGATTATTTCGAGAGATTCTTCGATGATATTTTAGGTGGTAAGTTTCCGAGTTCTACCTTTCTGTCTTATCCTTCTTCTACACTAACTATTTATTTGTTTGTTGTCTTTTTTAGCCTGAAACCCGGAAACGACGCGAGACGAAGATTAAATTATTTATTTTATTTATTTTTAGTTTTTAAGTTAGATAACCAAAGACTTAAGGTTTCAGTTAATATTTTCAAACAAAGTACAAATGTTTTTTTGTGGTGTGTTCAACTTCAGTAAAATGTGAATAATCCTTCGTTTATTCTTACACCTTTACTTTTATTTATTTGGTCTCGAGAGCATTTGCTGAATTTATTTTCTTCAACAATAATTCTATTGTAAAGATTTGTTCCGTTCTGCAATAAAAAACAACTGATTTTATTCAATTTTGAGAATATTATTTTGAAACCTTAAAAGGAAAAAGGAATATTCCCTTTTTCCTTTTGTCTTTCCTTCCTTCTATCTCCTTCTTATTAACCATGAAATGCTTCCGCGTTTGAGGAAGCGGCCGATGGCCTCGTAATTACTTGATATTGGGAGGGTTTCAATGCCCCCTTTTTATTAAACATCACCGTCCGTACACGGTCGGCCTACATCCTGAAACTGGCACAGGCAAGGTGAAAGGAGATCCTACTCCATCCTCAATACTAATCGAGTTTTTTAGGAGACTCTTTTAAAAATAAAAAAAATAAAAGAGGTAATGGATAGGAAGGATCTAACTTTCTAACAAAAACGTTTTCACGGTCAAAACCTCGTTCAACAACTTTCCCATTGTTCCCAGGGGACGACGACGACGACGATGATGATGAAGAGGCAGCTGAAACAGTTGCTGCTGCACCCGTGGTATCGGCCCCACAAGTGGAAACGTCTCCCGCTACAGTGACCAACAACATCCAAGGGCTCGCGGCGACCAACGTGGATTACAACGCGGCCGATTACGGCAGTGCCCCCGGTGAAGACGAACCTCTGGAAACTGAAGCTTCCCAGCAACAGACCGTCGTTTTAACGACGTCCGACGATGCAGCCAGTACCAAGCCCGAAGACGGCGTGGACGTGAGCGATGACGACGACGACGACGATGACGACGACGATGATGATGACGACGACGATGACGATGATGATGAAGATGATGATGACCTTATCGATACGAAACGTGAGTCGAGTCAAAGCTAAAAAACCTGCAAACTTTCAACAATGGACTAATTTACCAAAGAGACTAGACTTTTTCCCAACGAACCATTGTACAGTTTTTAATTTATTTATTTATTTAATTTTAAGCGACGACCGAACTTTGAATGTGTTCTTCTAAATATATTTATTATTTACTTACTTTGACTTTTACTCGTAGTTACTCTACGACTCTCTTGCCTTTTCTTTCAATAACTCTTTTTTTCCTACAGACTTACCTGCCGCTTAAACATCTGCTTAACATGTATATAAGATACATTCAAAATTTACCGCTATGAGCTTTTAATAATTATAATATTTAATGGTTCATTAATTTAAGGTTCATACACTAGGATATGATTATAGAGTTAAACATTTCATCTGTTACAAAAATAGCAAGGAAGAAAATCTTATTATTTACCAAATTATTTCCAATAAACAGATATTCTTATAAAGAAATTAATTAATACAAGTGATTGAAAAATTACCTTTGATGAAACACCCCAAAACTGACTTAATGGTACTTAAATGATAATATAAAAAAACAAATATAGTATTTGAGTTTAGTTAGTAGACGTCGAAAAAACTTATTCCACAATTTACGATGAGTAAAAGTGAAGACAAAATTTCTCAGTTATCACGTTAAATATTTTGAATTAATCAAAAAGGCGGGTCCAAAAGGTAATTTTTTTAAAACAATTCGAAATTTCAAAAATTGTACTTTTTGAAAATTCAATTATTACAATATAATTCTTTAAATTAATCGATTTATTTCTTAAAAATGGACGAAAAACTTGTCCAATCGTTAATTTTACTTTGATTATTCCGTACACAAAACTAGTTAAATTTATGTTTCAATAACTGGGGTCCTTACCAGTCTATTAATGTTCAAACTTAGGTCTATGAAGCAAGTCCGTAGGGCTTGTTCCTCCTCAGTCGTCTTACAGGGTAGAAAAAATAGAGGTGATGCTGGGTGTTGGTAGACGAGTCGGTGAACTCATGCTAAACCGGCATTGATTCACTTATTGGGTCCGTCTTCACTCGCGGGTTTGTCAACTACTCAAACCCGTTTCGGCATTGCGCCATCTTCAGTGAGGAACTATAAGAACAGGAGTTCCTGATCCAATTCAGCATCATCCAATCGATTCAGCATGAAAAAATAGAGAAGTTTGCATGAGAAAAATAGAAAAGTAGAGAAATTTGGTTAGAATTTGAAACCTCACCTCAATTATCAACTTTTATTTTTTGACAATTCTAAGACCGTAGTAACTCCAGTAATAATCTTTTATATAAAATTGATTTTTTTTAAACAGATAAAAATTCAAAATATATATTGCATATGGTAATATTAAATAAATAGAATGGTTTAATAATTGATCATGTACGTAAGTTTTTCTTATTAATAATTAAAGGGTGAAATATCTGATGATCTGAAATTGAGTGAACATGACAGAATAATGATAAAATCTGCCTGGAATATTTGGCTTGGCTGATAAATTTCCATGCCTGGGAAAAAATAATAATCTATAAGAATTTTGCTATTTAAGCTTTTTTGGGTGAAATATGAATCAGAGTTTTTTTTTTTTTTAATTTAAAAGCTCCGAAAAAAAATTCGATTGAGCATACATATTTATAGCAAAGTCTCGCTACCTCTAAATAAATCCTTGGTGACCATGTTTTCCGTTATTTTCCAATTTAGAAAAAACGTTAAATTAAATAAAATTATTCAGAGAACGTGAGATGCGGTCTGGTGTGATGTAGGTTTCAGAAAAACATTTTCTTTATCGTGCCAACGTTTCGATCTTTATTGAGATCATCTTCAGGGCTCAAAGTATTTGTCTTCTGTGTAACTGTGCCATTCTTGCGTGTCGTGTTGAGAGTTAAATAAAATTGCTGTACAAAACATTCAATTTTGAAATTTTTATAATCTCTACCTGTCAAAAACAGCTAAGAAGAATAAAGAAAAACATAAAAGATAAATGGTGGAGTGAGTGTGTTGTCTTTTTAAAAAGATAGTTCAAGGGGCGTCGGTGGCCGCAATGGTTTAGGCGTTGACACGGCCCTCATCACTGTAAAGTAAAGGTCTCGGGTTCGAATCCGGCGGCCCTTCATTCGAACCCGACATACTTACAAATGGGCTATTTTTTCAAAAACATCGAAACATCGAACCCCGAGGGTTTTCTACTCACAGTGAGTAACATCTATCTTTTTAAAAAGATTAAAGAATAAAATGTGAATTATACAGCCTCTGTACTTCTTAAAATTGCTATTTTAAAATAAAATCACTAGCTTTTTATCTATTCTTTTTATTTGTAAGTTTTTAAAATTTGTGAATTGCAAAAAAATCAGTATAGTTAAAAGAAAATAGCAATGATATAACAAAACCATTCTTATACATATATTTTTTTAAATATTTTTATTAAAACCTATTGATGTCAATCCAGAATATCCATCTCATATAGAAAAGGTAAATTTTTTTGGGGCGATAATGGACGAAAATTATGTACGGTCGTGTCTAAAGTCAATGTTTATATTTTTTAACGTTTTAATTATTCAATTATTCTAACGGAAATGTTATTTCACGCTCTAGTTTACAGCGAAGCGTTAATTTAAAGGGAAAGGTTAAGCATGTAAAGACTTTTAGAAAAATATTCCAATAAAATTATTTAATAATTAGTTTGATCATGATTTAGTCAATTATGTGGAAAGTGTGTTTTGGTTATCAAGCCAATAAGCAAAAAAGGATTTTTGAACTTTCTCGTCAACTCCCAATTTTCTTCTTGGCCTTTTGGAAATCGTCGTTTTTTTTGTTTTTGTTTTTTTAATCGAGAAATCGTGAAAGCTGGTATCAATATCGATCCCGATATCCTTCTCCCCGGCCCCGGATCCGCCGGTCGGCTTCAAGATTCAGGAACCTTTCCGAAACCGGCCGCGACCTTAGATAATCCGAGTGTATAAAATTCCTGGGAGTGTCCCGTCGTTCCCGTTACGGGGTCCAGGTTGGTCGGTTGGTTGGTTGAGATAGGTGTCATTAGGCCACGGCACCGCTACCACATTAGCATTCCCTGCCTGCCACCTTCTATTCGACTTTCCCAAACGTCCGTTTTTTTTTCTCTTTCTCTCTTTCTCCCATCGTCCCTTAACCTTTTATCGAACACGATTTTTATTAATCGTAATAAATTCAACAGTTTATGTCCAACTGCAAGCTCTGATTATAAATATTTGACTCGACAATCGGACACAACACCCATCAATCACTAGAAGGACGAAAACCAACAACGAAATTAGTATGATAAACTTACCATACAAGACAACTTAACACTGTACAAAGGAATAAAAAAATAGAAATCTCATAAAACAGTTGATAAAAACCGCTAAGGCAAAGGAAAAACACTTCTAATTTCTTCTCCAACAAATCTTCGGCAGGTTTTCAAAAAGGAATCAATACAAACTATATTTCCTACCATCGTATTTTTAACGAAAAAAATTATTAACTTTCATTTTAATTAAAATATTGAATTTGTTAAAGCACAAGAAATTTAGCTCATGAACAAATAAAATTTTATTTTTTTACTATTATCTGTCTAGTCTTACAATTTTTAACAATTCATCTTTAAGAATAACGAAAAAAGTCAAATAGATTTTATTTATGAAATATTTACAAAACACAATACTTTTTTTTATATGCTAGGGGCAGTTACGTAGTAAAATACTATTTTCATTTTTTTACTTAATAAAGTACTTTTTTTCATTCATTCATCCATTCTCAAATAATTTTTTTAATGCTGAGCTTTTTCACAATAATATAACCAAATTATTTTATGCTGTCGCTAGTTTGTCTACTTTTAATTAAAAATAATTTATTGATTTCATCCTTTTCTTACAAATTCGAATAAATAAATGTATTTATTTATTTAGTTTAATTGTTGGCTTAAATTCCAAATATCACCAAGATATGATCTTTTAAGTGACAAAACTTCACTTTGAAATCAGACCCGAATAGTTCGACTTTTTCATTACTTTACTAAACAGAAAAAAAGGCCCAATACATAAATTAATTGAACAGTTATTTAAAATGAAAGAACTTTCCCGTCAGAATATTTATGGAGTATAACCAACGGTCACAGGCAAAATTTAATTTTTTTTTTTAAACTTTGATTTTAAAATGATCTAAGCCGAGATTGTCCGTGTCGTATTAAGGTGCAAAATGAGATTTCAATTATTTTCAATTTATTCTAACCCAATCCAGTTTGAGTTTCATATTTATTTTATTCCTCTGCCTTTCAACTCTACGATTTTTCTATGTAGTTTGTATATTATTGTACGTTTGGCGTGTTTAATTTTTATCTTAAGAAACTTCTTGATTTATTCTTTGAAGAACTGTGATTTTGAAGATTTCACAATGTTTTTACCTTGTGTGCTCCCTTTTTCCTGCGATCTCACACACTTTAATCAACTGTTTTTAACAGTTAATTTGTTAATTTCACCCAGACGTAATAATTAAAACGAAATCGCCAAGTGTCTCGAGCGGCATAACGGATGAGTCTTCTCATATGGGACGGTCGACGGCCCCGCAAATTAAAAACTGAATATCAATCAGGCAATTAGTTTATTATTAATTAGAACACGGACGTGCTTTAATTGTCTAGGTCGGACAGTTACAAACATGCGGAGAATTTCTTTTTAAGTTCGGTGTACGAAATAATCAATTTTTTACTTTTTTTTCGATAAAATTTGAATTATTTTAAACTTACTTGTTTACAACTGTTTTTGAAACAAATACACCGAATTGAAATTATTATCTATTGTAGTTTTAAAATGAGTTTGTTTCTTTGAAGGTCATTTAGTTTCCCTAATCATAATGCACAAAATATTTTGTTTTTGTCGGAGCATGCAAAAAGATCAGCATTTTTACATCTTATAGTTAAAAAATTAATAAATAATTTATTAATTTCAATGGGAAAACAACTTATTGTGTATTAATTTTCAAAAAATGGCAAAAACCAAAAATTTTCAAAGGAATTCACAATAATACTTTCATATTTTAAAATGTGACCCAGATTTCTCTCTCTCTCTCTCTCTCTCTCTCTCTCTCTCTCTCTCTCTCTTTCTCTCTTTCTCTCTCTCTCACACGCACTTCTCTCTCTCTCTCTCTCTCTCTCTCTCTCTCTCTCTCACTCTCTCTAACACTCACTCTCTCTCACACGCACTTCTATCTCTCTCCTCTCTCTCTCTCTCTCTCTCTCCTTCTCTGTGTGTCTGTATGTTTCTTTGTTCACTAATCTTAGTATCCATTTTCTAATCAGTAGAAATTACATCTTAACAAGCTTACATTTTTAGAATATTATTTTTTAAAAATCCATCTATTTTTCTCCATGTTTGACCTGAAATTACAATGACATATTATTAACTAGGTTCCATGAATGATGCTGAAATGCCAGCATCGGCTTACATAACGAAATACAACAGGTTTGTCGACTCCATCCTGGACAGGATAAACAAGATACTGAGAAAGAGCTACGATCCTGTGAATGTAAGGCTTCAGTCTGCATCTGAGACAAAAAAGAACAAGAAACAGAAGAAGAAGCAGGGCAAAGGAAACAAGGAAGAAAGGACTGGAGGGTGTGTTCATTAGACTCTTGTTTCATTTAAATATTTTGCCCATTATTATTATTATTATTATTATAAATTTGATTTATTTTAGAACTAACTCAACAGTCACCGAACAATCAGATGAAGATACCGTAACGACTATGACTGTATTGCCTGTTAGTTCAACTGAAGCTTCCACCCAACAATCGGCAGAGCCAAGAAAGAAAAAACCAACAAAAACTACTCCCACACCTACCACAACACAAAAGGTTTTTAACTATTAAAAATGCTAGGCGAATAGAAAAAATTGCAATAATAGATTTTATTTTCAACTAGACAAAGACAAAGGCTAAAGGTAAGCCTTTGAGAGCTAAAGCCACTCTTTATGGTTTATCGTCTATCCAAAGGGATGGAGATGTTACTGTTAACGTAATGAGTTCCCACACGACTGTCAAGACTAAATTTTTAGTTGGCCCACTAGTCCTCAAAGTTGAAAAAGAGGTAAATCAAGTCATTTATTTTTTATTTGAAAATTTTATTTATTTATTTATCGGTACAGTTTGGCAGAGGAGTAAAAAAAGAGTTGAGGAGTGCAACAGCCACTACCGCTGAAATGGTTGGCAAACTAAACCTTAGAGTCATGCATGGAGGCGCTGCCACACTTCATTCTATCAAAGTCCTTCAACCAAAACAAGTAATTCTCATAATTTTTTTTGTTAAAAACTCATTGCATAAAAAATTAAATTACAAATTTTGTTCAGGTTCGAGTCGAAAGTCCAGATGACCATGACAGAACAAGAGAATTCGTGTGGAGGAGATCTAGCCACATTGCACACCTAGTCTCTCAAAAATTATTAGCAGCGACTAAATCCATGCTTCAACCCCCTCCTAAAGTGGCTTGAATTTCATAAAAAGTGATAAAAACAATTTTTGTTGTAATGAATGGAATTTTTTGTAATCTCATCGGATTCAGGTTAACTTGTTAACTGTCCGACATTAACAGTCATTAAGCTTGATAAAACTTTGTTTTTGTTATGCTTAAATATTTATAAGAAAGCATGAAAGAGCGAGCTCTGTTTTTAATTTACATTTGGTACATAATTCTATATGAAGATATGTGATTTAATACAATTTTGTAGTAATTTATTATTAGATTTTACTTTTAGATTTTTTTTTTTTTTTTGCTTTTGTACAAATTTAGTTTTAGAATATAAAATATTATTTATTTATATTTACAACTGTGACTTCTTAATTTATTTTAAAAATAAACTAGACTTGAGAGTTGATCTTTTGTGACATGTGCCTTAAAATAAAGATAAATCAATCCTTTCAAGCCGGATAGTCCATATTTAAACTATTATTTATTAAAATCTTTACAACAACTTAAAGATAAAATAATATTTATTAAGACAATAAGATTTTATAACAAGCGCATGCCAAATTGCACACAACAGTGCGACAAAAGGGACCACGAACTACCGTGAAGATTAGGTGAAAGCTGGTGTACCTTGATCTGAGTTCTAAGAACTTAGCTCGGTAAAGATATGGAGGGTTTAAAGGAAGAGGCATCAAGGTATATACAGGCAAATAATACAGAATAACAAAACTTTAAATATGTTTTTAAAATAAAGAGGAATTTTATTATTTTTATCAATATAAACAACATATTTTATGTTTTTTATTTTTTTTGGTAAAATCAAAATTATATAACAATACAATATTCTATGGCCAATTTTGAAAGATACCTCAACTAGGTACTTCCTTTGTATAAAACAGAGTTCAGAATAATCATATAAAACTGTGTACAAAATATAAAACTGCACGGACAATTATAAAAGTACTATACATAAAACTACAATTTTAGTTTTATTTCATTTTATTTTTGTACTTATAACAATATGTTATATTTACAGAGAATATATTTATTTTATTCATACATCTGATTGAAAAGGGTGAATTAGAAACAGTTCTTATTTGTTTCAACTGGAATTTATTTTATTAGCATGAAAGTAGAGATCCCAAGGAATAATGGGTATTCTGGAGTAGTATGAATGTAATTTATTAGCGTGAGAGAAGGGAGGCCTTCTTTCCTAATCACTCCCAAGAATTTGAAGTACTCTGGGGCAGCATGAATTCTACTCAGATCAACTTGTTTCTAAATGTTATTACTGCACAACAAGCAGGTATGCAGAAATATGGACTCACAGGATTGGTCTTTTGTTGGCATTAACGAAGAAAAGGACTCCTTCGTTGAATGTCCATCTCATCTAAATGGTCTCTGATAGACGAATTTTATTTGATGCTAGTGAACCTTTAATGTATATTTATCATTGATGTGAACTGTTTTTCTCAACTGTTTTATGTTTCGTGGTGAACACTTGGTCACTTATCTGGTCCACCTTCACTCGCTGGTTTGTTGAATTTGCTGATTCTTTTTTCATTGACTGCGTAGCCTAAATTAAATACATGTCCAAAATTGAAATTGATTTTTTAAATAAACAAAAATCTTCAAATGTGCAAAGTTCTACAAAATAAGCAAAAATGTGCTGAATAAAATTGGAACCATTGTACCATACAGGTATGATTCGGAATATGATTATCATTATTTCAGCATTAGAAAAATCGACCACTTTTTCACTCACGAACACTAGATCAAGGTATGGTCAAAGCAAATTCAGTTGTTACTGTCATGCTTTTGACCTTTTTTAACAACACCATCAGGGCAAAACAATCTTAAATTTGCCTACACATTGAAATATTTAAGTTTTTATAGGCGATCTCAAATTTCCTCGAAGACTGACACAGTCCCAACAAAGCCAAGGTCCGTTACAGTCGCAGTGAGATTGCTATAAGAAATTTAATATGTCAATCTGTAGACACATTTAAGATTGTTTTGCCCTGATGATGCCCTTAAAATCGGTCTAACGTTTGGCAGAACGACCATACCTTGATCCAGAGTGTTCGTGATTATCATGATTGTAATATACAACGATGTACGAATCAGGGATCTAATTTATAGTTGAATCTGATGATCAGTGATTTCTTAATATATGAGAGACAACTTTTTATTTTAAATATACGTACACATATGTTCATATACTGGTATTAAAAATCGCAACATTTATAATTTCATGTTTTTTTTCATAGTAAAAAATAAACGCCCGTATATCGAACAGGACCGCTTATTGTCAATGCATTAATTGTTATAGAGATGTTATCACAGTCAATAATAGCGTCTCTGCTTTATTAGAAATAGCATGAGTAACGTCTGTTCTAATCCGCTTTTCATTCTGCATTAGTATGTTTACCGGATCTACTAATGTTCGAAGCACTCATAAGTTTAATGAGCGAATAGGAGAAGAGAACTAGTATGTTCTATTAAAGTCTTAATTGAGAAATGGAGTTTAATCTGTTCTTCTTTTATCTACTTTTTTAGAGATTAAAAAAGTTGGGTCCTATTTATAGGTTGGATCATAGATTATAATGTCAATTGCGTAATAAACAAAACCTACAATGCAGCTTGTTTGCTTTTAAGATTTAATTAAATATTTTTTCCGTTGGAATCATAGGGAGTTTTTCCTTTACATACAAACTTTCGTATATTGTGATTGTTATTTGTTAATGGTTTTACTGCAAGATTTTTATTTCTCTAATAACATACTCACTTCAGGGGTACTGTATCGAAGTCTTTATTGCTCAGGAATGACTAGCCTAGATGCCTTAGACTTAAGTTACAGTAATATATCTAACATTTTATAATAAAAAAATTATGTATAATTTTTGTCAGGTTGATTGAACATTATCTTGTATTTAATAAAAAATAGACAGTAGTGACATATAACACACAGAAATTACACTTGGAATTTCAAGATTGTAGGAAAAATTTCATATTTTTGTTTTTTCATAGAACATTTAATTTTAGATGTAGCAGTTGGCCGTACAGAAAAGACCATATGTTATAGTTATTCAATTAATTAATATTTATGAAAAGTATTGGTTGAGATAAAAAAGTCAGTGTCACGAGCGGGATTCGAACCCACGACCTTCGGCTACTCTATCACTTGAGCTATCGTGACTTCGATCCGCTCGAACACCATCTTCCCATCTCAACGTACCTCTCGAATTTTCCCTCCTTTTTGCCATTTTTTTTAATCTCAACCAATATCTTTCATAAATATTAATTAATTGAAAAATATTAGTTGGTCAATCGGACCACGAACTGTAATGGGTTACGGTTATTATTGACTGTTAGTTGGTGTTTATGTACTGATTCCAATAAGCTCAAATCTGAACACGTACTTACATACGCGTGTAAAATGTTGAGCCTATCACTGTCGCAGTTCACAGCCAATTCCAGAGTTTGTAATTTACAATCTATTATCGGCAGGCCTGGAGAATCACCAACGCAATTAGTTTCTAAATCCGTTCACTCTCCCACTCACTCTTAAATATATTTTTTCTTATTTACATACCGTTTACTAAATTAGGGTACTCGATATTCCTCCATCAACCGTTTCACCTATTACATAACTGAACTGATTGAGGGTCGATGGGTACTCAATATTTTGCTATCGACCCTCTCACAGTACACATTTACGCTAATATATACATTATGTTTAACACACACTAAGGTATACAACAATATCAGCAGTATATACAATAAAACAACCCTGTTTACTTTACTGAAATACAATTCTCATATCGGGTGGCATTCTTATATGGAGCCAAGGAATTGCACCCTTCAATTAGATGGGACACATCGAGCAACCTTTCCCCACATTCTCTCAGACTTTAGCACAAAAGTATGTCAACCTTGCATGGCCAGTCCTTAGTCGGGTGAGGATGACCCTTCTTCTTCGAGTGTGATCCTCCACCTATCGCAGTGCTGTGATATTATTACAGTATAATTAATGCGGTAACGCTCTATTATGCGTGAAAATAAATATCAAAGGCATGAAAAAACCGTATTTACATATTTATTATGTTTATATGTATTTATTTGTATATTACTATGAACTGTATAGAAAAATTGGGGATTTAAAAGGTAATAAATAATAGCATATTATATCTACATTTTTTACGAGGGTTCGCAACAGCAATGGTTATATGAACCCTCGGGGTGACGGTGTTTTTGAAAAAAAAAAACCATTTGTAAGTATGTCATGTTCGAATGCATGGCCGCTAGATTCGAACCCAGGACCTTCACCTTAGAGTGAAGAGCGCCAGGTCAACGCCTAAACCACCACCGACGCCCCCTATATCTACATTTGTATAAAGAAAAAAATTATGTACATGTATAAAAATGTAAATGTTAGTTCAGCTCTGTGTTATTTTTTTATACAAAAAATACTTTTGTTTGATTGATTCATCTAATGGTAATGACATTTAACTGAACGCGTAAAATACTATTTATTAAAGCCAAAATAATTGTGAATTTCTGTAATATTTTTTGTTAAATGTAGTGTTAACAGTTTTAATATGATAAATAATTTATGAACCCTTTTTTTCGAGAGAAAGAGAGATAATAAAATACCGAGTCATTTGAATTTTAAAATGTTTATAAATACAGGGAGTAAATTCCGTTGTGAGTGATTTAGTCGGTCAAATTTTAGGAGAGAATTAAATATAATTTGTGGCTTATTGCCAGACAGAGGTTGGCGGGAGGAGGTGCGTTTTTATACGCTAATGAATAAACATTAGAGCACATAATTTGGTTATTTGCAATTCAGTAGATAACTTTCGTATCTCCTTGGCTTAAATTCAACTCCTGGATGACTAAAGGCACGTCTTGTTAAAAGTCCCTTCTATTTCAAAACTATTATGTCCATGAATTATCCAACAGGATCTTCTTATGCACTGGGTAATTTTTTTAAAAATTTTTCTTAGCTTTGTTCAATCTTCAGAAATTAGTCCTATATCCGGGATCACCGCATTATGAAAAAACCCAGGTCACGATTAAATCAAAATCCAGGGATCTACTTGATAATAACTTCCCGTTCCATCCAATATCCCTAAAAGTAATCTTATAGTGGTTTATTTGCTCGTCTCCAGGGGATTGGCAAATATTGGTAGTAAAAGAGGGTTAGGCGGCGGGGATGCAAACAGGGAGGGGTAACATTATTGGTCTAGAACGTTTGCCTCTACAG